GTTTGCATAGGGATGTCAATGCCTTTCCTGTAACATTGTACACCACACCACAGGTAGGTAACAGGGTTTGTAGAGGGATGTCACACGTAGTAACCGTCCCTGTAACATTGCACATCACATCACAAGTAGGTAACAGGGCTTGTATAGGGATGTCAATACCTTTCCCGTGTAACATTGCGCACCACATTACAGGTAGGTAACATGGTTTGTAGAGGGATGTCACATATAGCAACCTTTCCTTTAACTAATTAGGCACCACTGATCACATGTAGGCAACGGGTCGTAAAGGGACTGTCACACGAAAAGTGCACTCGCCTCTCACCTCTGGGGTCTAGGATTCAATTTCTCGAATCGCCATTACATTTGAGTAGAGTTTGTTAGGTCACTCTCTTGATTCTAGGGCTTTCTGCAGGTTCTCTGGTTTTATCTTCTCCCTCCGCCAAACCTAACAAGCTAAATTCCCGTTCAATCTGTGAGTAAGCCTTTCCCTGACTTTGCTAAGCCCAGAGTTTTTAAGGACCATAACTAAGAATGATCAATTCTCTCTTCCCCATTTCACAGCAACTGCGCAGCAGCACTCAACTCGATCATGGAGTAGATCAGCTCATTTAAACGTGGTTTCAGGGTATCCATAAAATTAACTCAACATTTTATCAGAGATTTTATGTGAAATAGACTGAATGTCATGAGCTTGCCATCTAACACATATTCCAATCCAAATCCTCGTAAAAATTTCCATATTCACATCTAAAAGATTTGTAAACGCCACAAACAACAAAACTGCCGGCATGAGGTGGATCACTAATAATATAAGATGTGACTGGATATGTGAAATGAAACGATTTGAAGATAATTAAATGAAAATCACATTCAAAGCCATTTCTTCTGTGTCACGTGTTTATATGAACCAAAGCCTTGAACATTAAATTTTTATCGAACTGACATTGAATATCCATTGAATTGACATTGGATTTCCATTGAAATCAAGGGCAGATCCAGGGTTTTTTTAAAGGGGGGGTCTCAGGGGTAAATTTTGTGGGCAAAGGAATCCCAGTCGCATTTTTACCACAGGAAGCCCATTTGACCTCAGGAATGACAGGGGGTTCGCGACCCCCCCCCCCCCGACCCTCCCCCTGGATACCCCTTGGAAATCTTGCTACATTTGGCGTGCCATAATCGTCGACTTGGTGCTTTTGTCAGGTCTGGGGTTCATTTTAAATATTGGGCTTCCTGTGGTCAATATTATTGGAGCAGAACCAACATGGCGGACGAAATGCGAGCTGAGCTGCTATAAGGAATCGCATACTTAAACGACCAAGATTTCATGATTATCCTTCACAGAACGTAATAACTAGTATCACTATGGAGGGCTTGTCTCTATGCTACAAGAAACTTCGAAAAGTCTACACGGTTCTACAAGAACTAAAGACGAAAGTCGAAAAAGTCCATACTGATTCTTGCGTCCAGGCTAACTCGTTAGCTAATTTACTCGAGCAGCTTGCAGCTTGTGATAAGGTGTCTTTCCATAAAGAGCCACTGGTTGAAATGATCGATCTCAAGCCAAAACTAAGATACAAACTCGTTAAGGCTGTAGAGTCTTTGTTGATCAAACTGCGAAACGATTTGTAAGTATGGGGATTAACCTCTAGCGATCGCTCTGATGTCATTCATAAAAGCTAGTGAAAGCGTTAGGTTAGTTTACTTTTATCGTGGAAGGGGAGCATAAAATTCTGAGTCTGCCCCCCATCCCCCGTGCATACAGGAAATGCCCTTCCATGGTATTCTACTCTATTACATTAGAAGTGGTGTGTGACTCGGATTTTTGTGTGTGTCCCCGGCCTCTTAAGCCTGATTTTTTTAAATGATCTCCCTCCCCCAAATCTCACCCCCCCCCCCTACCCAGCCCACCAGATGTGGGTCCTTTAGTCAATAGAGATTGAGAGTATCATTGGCATAGGGTGGCCCTGCATTTGGATCTCTTTGACCTCATATTATATTTTTTTAATGCCAACTGTGACTAGTAGTTAAAGCAGGGGTTTTTCAAGACTGTATTTTTTACAATTCTCTATAGATCAACTCTTAAAGATGTATCAAGGAAGATATCAGAGTGCAGGAAGACTTCTTTTGATGTTTATACCCAACATGCTACCCAAGGTACGGTATCTGTCGTTCTGTTCCCTGCTAGCAGAGTCCCTCCTCTTTCTCTCCCTTCTTTTAGGCAGGGAGGAGGGAGACTCTGCCGATGTAGAGGGTTTCCTTTGATACACCGCCCTCCACGATTCTAGACAAATGAAACCAGTTTTAAAACTGCTTTTTAACCGAGTACATGTAGTGCGCATGAGCAAATGTAACACTCTGCGGCGCCAAACCTTATTTGACGAGAGTGGCTGTCAAAATCATGACAGCGTTGCTAAGTTACGCCACCCAGGCGCAACAAGTATAACGTCCTACATCGGCAGAGACTGTTTTTCTCACTCCACCAAAATAAAAGGAAAAGAGGCTCTGCTAGCAGGAAAGTCATTCTGTTTCTTTATAAATAATGTCTGGTAATTGGTCTCGGAGGATACAGACTGAGATCCAAGTTTTTGGGGTGCAACCACAGGACTCAAAATCCTCCAAGATATAAATAACAATGAAACAGCTGCCATGTTGGTTGATCTAGCAAGAGAAGCTAATGAGGAATGCTTTGTTATCGTCAACCAAAATGGCAGCAGAATGTGATGTAACATTCACGAGAATATTATGAACAGAAAACTCATCATTTAGGTAACTTTTAAAGCAAAAAAGTATATTCAAGTCAGACTATTATGCTTTATAATGATGGTCTTACATGTTTTTTTGTTACTGGCTTCTTACCTCTGTGATCCAACCTTCTGACATTTGTGTATCTCTTCTGCATTAGGGACATTAAGTCTTGAGGACACGTTACAAGGAAGCCCAACATGTCCATCACTCACCGAACTGTTAGAATGGTTGTCAGAAATTGACAGCTCCTATGCTCAACTGTATCCTTCCTGTAAAGTAATATTATTTTTTTTATCATGTTACATGTATATAAAATTTCAAATTGTTTTTGGTGCATTATTTTACAAATGACATAATTAATAAGAATATTTGAAGGTGACATTTGAATAGTCACTACTAAGTCCTACTATAAAGCACTAATTGAGGTCTTTTGAAACAACAGGTCATGTGACTCTACCTCCAGTAAAAAGAGACGTTGACACAACAACTCTCTTTACAGGGGGTAGGGTCATGTGACCTGTTGTTGCAAAAGGCCTATTATATGTGGTCATTTTAGCAACAGTGATGGTCTCTAAAAATGTTGCAGATATTTTTAGAGCAAAGGCAGCACCTTCTACTCGGGCATTTTTAAGACCCTGAAGGCTGAGGCTTAAACCAATAACCTCCTGTATAACAGCCCAGTGCACAACCATACTAGTTGATTGTAGAGTGGTAAAATAATATTTGAATCACTATTCTTAATTTCTAAACCAGATATGAAGAAAAATTAGAAATTATTGAAAGCATATCGTATGAAGAACCTACAAAATCACAAGAAGCATTAAGAAGATGGAAATCCCTTGCTCTTTTATCGAGAAATAAGAGTGAGTACAAACAGTTTTTGTTTGATTATTCCCTTGTACTGAGGAACTGATTTCGAAGCAGAAAGGCTATAGACCTGTTTTCGGGCATGTTTTCCCAATTCAGACTGTAAGATGAGTGTGCATGGGTGTTATTATTATTAGGTTCCCCAGGGATTTCCTATGCCTATTCTTGGAGTTGAGCTTGGAAGTAGTTCGGAAAGGAAGACAACCCCTTGACAACGACAAGACTATTCCTAAAAGTTGTGTGGAATAAATAGAGTCGTTACAAGACCATGTGTCATTCCCAAGAGAATCAAAATGCATGATTAATATGAATACAACTCAATCTTGTTCTCTGAGCCTGCACTATTATGAGCGTTGCCTTCCGTTGGCTAGCAATAGGGCAGGCTCTCAAACAAAGAATCTTATTCCCAAGAGAATGACATGTTGGGTAAGGAAGTCTATTGGGTTGCCTGTGGTATACATTGAGTATGAATCCATGTTGGTGTACATGTTCTAATTTTTACATTCTGAACTTTTTGTTCCAGTTTTTGCAGATCAAATACCAATCTTCCTGGCAACTCATGATGGTAGTTGACAACACACTCTAATATAGTCTATTGTAGTTCATTAAAGATAATATTTATGGAGCTGTAGAAAAATGACACTATTATTATATTGGCATCCTGCTAGGGTTATAACCCCAACTTGGTTAGGGTTTGCGCTAGGGTTATAAGCCCAACTTGGGTGGGGTTTACCCCAGGTTTATGACCCTGACTTGGGTAGGGTTAGTGGTAGGATTTGGTTAGGGGGATTTTCAGAAATATTGTCTGATTATGCATATTTGCGGATGTAACAACGTTTATTTATAGACAATGCACGGTAAAGCCTAATGTATAACCATCGTACATGTGACATTCCCTTGAGCATTATCGCTTGCTTTCTTCCAAAAAAAAATTTTCTATCAGTTTTCTCAAGCATTTGATATATGTTACAAATAGTATATATATTATTATTATTGATATTATTATTCAGTGATTAGTTATTAGTTTATTTTCGTGTGACGCTTCAGAAAATACATGAATATAGATGAGACTCAAACACAGGATTGTTCTCTCACGGGTATGACACGTGGTCTGAAATTTAACTAGTGACCAGTGATTTGGCTCTCACTAGGCTATGCATTCTTCCCTGATAGTTCCCATGCACAGCGCAAATTATTTTGTGTAAGAGTATCACTCTCATAAAACAAGGAGATAATTGCTTTGTTTAAAACCGAAAGACCGTTCAATAAAAAAGTTACAGAATTCAGGTAAGTTAAATCTTTGTTTGGGTAATTCGACTTATCGGGAAATCAGTTGGTGAAAAGCTTTCTTTTGAAGATCAAAGATTGCCTCTTCTTTGCATATATTAGCAGACAAAATCGTACATTGCTCATTAATATCAATTGATTTGGTTCACACCTGTCACATAAGAGCTGCACAGATCTTACGCCGTTACAGACGACGACTCCAAATGACAATTTTTCCTAATTTATGCATTAGGAATCAGCAAAACGTCGAGCGTATATCCCCGAGTGTTTCGATTTTCGATTTCTCAAGTGATCTACCGACTCGCTAAGTCTTTATATCATTTAGTTGATAAGGAGCTACAGATATAGAGGATATTACATGGGCGCGCGGAGATACGAAATTTATATTCGAGTGTTGAAAATCTCTAACTCGTTTCGCTGCGCTCACTCGTGAGAGATCTTTTCATCACTCGAAGATAAAGTTCGTATCTCCGCGCGCCCATGTAATATCCTCTATTTATTATTATTATTACTATAATTTTTAAAATGTCTGTAAAATGCATCACTAATCAGTAATGCCGAAAGAGTAAAAACCTCCAGTAACGAAATCCTTGCAGCAAGTAAAAGAACAGCTACAACTCAAACAAACCCCTTTCACATTTGCCTAACGATGTCAACCAAACTGAATTTCATTGGTTCCTTCATCTATTACAACAAACAGCACACAATCAATCATAAACACAAATTCATTAACATGCAAATCACTTGGAGAAGATTTTTTGGAGAGCCTTTGTGTACCATGTTGACCTTCACATATTAAACTCGTATTTACTAGAGTTTTTTTAAATCAGTTTTAAGGTACTTTTTGAGGTCACGATCGTGCACTTTTATCTACTTTCAAAGGAACCGGAAGTGTCCTGTTGTGATGCTATTGTGATGCTATAGGAGTCACGAAGTATATAGCCTCGCACGCATACGGTTTCACTCAAGCTTCGCATGTTGGTCACTTCTTTTCATACTCGGTGCAATCCGATTTTCTAAGCCTCAATCATGGACACTGATGACTTTCTTAAGAAGATCGGTCAGTTTGGCCCGTTCCAGAAGCGTGTCCTGGCCATGTTCTTGTTTATTTTCTTCCCGATTACTTACCAAACTCTAATCATGGTGTTCGTGGCTTATGAACCGCCATGGATGTGCGCGTCCAACAGTACAGCCTGCCTTCAAGCCAACGCTACTGGACGAGAAGTCTTTAGCACCAGCACCAAACCTATAGCGTTGTACGAGAGAAGATGCTCTCTGAACAGATCTGACTGGAAGTTTGCTGATTATGATTTGTACGAAGGACCTCATAAAACTATTGTTACAGAGGTTAGTAAACACCACCATATTAACATCCACGTCGATCACGTATGCGCGTTTTCTTTCGTCACCTAGCATTGCTTTTGCATAAATCAAGTTTTGAGTACATTTGAAAAAACTGATTGAAGCATGTTCGAAGATACAAAAACCTCTAGGGCTTAGTTCTTTGTTTGCGATCTCTATATTCTCTCCTATTGCTGTTAATTAGCATTTAGACAAGTACAATATTCGTTTTTGAAATATTACATAAACGTACCTAAAAGCACTCACTGTTAAGTTGTTAGATGCTATATCCTCTCCTATTGCTAATAATTAGCATTTAGACAAGTATAATATTCGTTTTTGAAGCTCATATAAACGTACCTAAAAGCACTCACTGTTAAAGTTTGTCTATCTGTTTAGCGCTGGGGGTGGATATAACCTTTAGTCGCGACATTTTGAAAAGAACAGACTGCGATGGGTCAAGTAGTATCTATAATATGGAGACAACTCCTCTAACGTCTTCCCTTTTTTCAGCACATTCAAGAAAGTCAGCTATAAGCTGTCAGTTTTCTCGTATCACTATGAGCATATGAATGAGGCTGGGATTTTCATTCCTTACTGAATATTTCCTTTGATGATACATAAAATATTTCTTCCTATCGGTAAAATGATATATCAACGTTCCAATAATCGGGGGTGAATCTAGTCTCCCTCGCATCCGTTTTTAGTGTCGGTCGTCACGCAACGCTCCGACACTAAAAACGGATGCGAGGGAGACTAGGGTGAATTCAAGGTCAATTATTACTCTATTGCATTCATCTCTTATGTACTAAAAGTGAGATCATGTTTGGTTTTACCTAAGTGTTCCAAGTGTCCCCATTCTAATTAAACCCAAGTTGTTTTTCACAACAAACTCCGACTTCTACAGCATGCAGAGCAAATGCCAATAACAATGCTTACAATAACAATGTCAATGGCAAAATATTCTACTTTTTAAGTTCTAAGCCAAGAATTGCTTTTCTTGAGAAACCTGCATGGATTCTTTGAAGGTGTACTGTGATTGGATGTTGTTCGTTCTCTTATCATGCGTTTGGTTTTGCCCAAGCGAAAACATGTTTTCGTTTTGTGTTGATTTTGTACCCAGCTGAGCACTACACAAAACGTCCGAAATGGTGTTAAACAAAAATATGTTAATAAGTAGAAGAAAATAGAAGCGAAAAGCTACGACAATTTTCTAGGGAACTTTCAAGTTCAAGAGCTGAAAGAAAGAAGCAAAAAGAAGTAAAGAAAAACGAATGAAAACAACTGAACTGGAATGAAATATCAAGTTGAGCTGATTCAATGAAGTAGAATAAACTCTGTTAGGCAAAAAAGGGCTCAATTTAATGCGGACTTTTTTGGAAGTTAGTTCTTACACCAGTAACGTTGAACGATAGAGTATATTTAGAAACTCTGTAGAGTTCCTCCAAGCGCAGCGAGCGAGCGATAAGGACGGAGGGCTTTACCAAAGTCTAAGTGCTCTGCAATCTTCGATACGCAAGAGCAGATAGCTAGGTGGCCACGTTGTTGGCTCTTTCCAGACTTGTACCCAGTCGCTCCTCTTGTCTAATTGATCTCACGCTGTGGTAGTCTCCCCCACAGCCGCTTTCAGTGTCGTCACGCAACGCTTTCTCCCCTGACGACACTGAAAGCGGCTGTGGGGGAGACTAACGCTGTGGTTGATGGAAAGGATTTTAGTGAGTTCCCGGTGCATCAAGGCAAGTACGGAAGACAAAAGCGAAGCGACTGGCAGATTTCTTGGTGTTGCAGGACACCTGAGTCATGAAGACGCTAAAACAATAGCCGAGAACAATGCGTTTGGAGCTAAACAATGCCCTGCAATACAAAAACCCTAACCCAGAATACAGTACATCCTTCAACACCAAGAAAGTACCACGTTGTTTGATGACACAAAATAAACTAATAAAGTTCATGAGTGTATAACTAATGAACTAAAATAACAAAAACCCGCAGTATATGAAGGGGGAGGGGGAGAAGGATTTTAAAGATTTTTCTAGTACGGCTATTTTCTGTTTCCGAATCTAACAAATGGATCATTAAAGAAAGATTGAAAAACTGCAGGCCATCGAGGTGTTGATACCATGCTTCACTAGTGTATCTAGTGTGTTGCTCTTCTTATTTACTGTAAGAAAATTCATTATTCATTGCGCACTTGCACGATGAACCAGCTGGATGGCCGTGAATTATTCAATACAAGAATAGACACCTTAATGATTAATATATAAGCCATGCAAACGCCGTTACTACAATGGGACTGCGTTGGGGTGTTTTACTTGATCACCACGGTGCAAAAAGAGTTATCGTCCTGGTGGTGTGTTTTACCAGGGACACCTTCTTGGTTTTACTTGAACACCATGGTGTATGACATTTATAAGTGTGCTGACGTTAGTTCTTTGTCGGAATAAAAACATACTACAGTATACTGATTGTCTTGGTTAAACTACGACTTTGAAGGTACAAATGCATATAGGCATGGAAGAGAGTCACGTAAACGTCTATTTAAAACTGATAAATCACTAACTTCGTTTAACATCTGCTTCCTCAGTTTGACCTGGTATGTGGTCGGAGTATCTACGGATGGTTGGCTAACTCTATCCTCTTCTTTGGCTGGGCCGTGGGAGCTCTGGTCCTCGGCGCTATCTCCGACAAATATGGCCGACGAAGTGTTCTTTTTCCTTCCATTACCCTCGTCATCGTCCTAACATTCTGTCTTTCATTCTCCAAAGTAGTCTCTCTTGCCATTGCTCTGAGGTTCTTCGTTGGTGTTTTCGAAGGTGGCAGTGTTTTGACCATGTTCGTGTTGTCCGCAGAGCTCGTAGGCCCTTCAAAACGAGCCTTGTCTAGTACGTTGGTCTGGTTCTACTTTGCATTGGCCCTGATGATTTTAGGACTGAAAGCATTTTTTATACGAGATTGGCGACTGTTGTGTATTATATCATCAGTGCCTTTCTTGTTTGTGCTCATCTTTTGGAAGTAAGTAGACATGATACTTTTGGTGGGATGGCTGTGGTGTTGGTCGATCGATGTGACCCTGGGAARCCGGGAGCCAAGTTCTAATGAGGAGATAGTAGGAGAAAGAGATGGATAGAGGGAGGGAGRGAAGGAGATAAATGGATGAAAGGTGGAAGTAAAAGAGAGATAGAGGCAACAGAGTGGGAGTTCGTGAGAAAGAGAGAGTGTGCCGGTGTGTGTTGTTATCTGTTATACCCTAGTAAAACAAGGCGTAATAGTTCCCTGTGCCATACCGTGGTAGAAACCTTTTTAAACACCTTGAATAATTATTTACATCTTCTATCGTTGCAAGTTCACTGTTTGTCTCGCTTCGACGCAAAGGCACGGCTGCCTTTCAAGATGGCGCAGGGAACTGTGAAGGGGACTATTAATGAGTTTAAGGAGGCACACCCCTTCAATTAATACCGATCTCTTGCCCTCTGCCCTTTGTTACTGATTACTGTTGTGCGTGTTTGTCCCAAGGCTCGTACCAGAATCGGTACGTTGGCTGTTAGTATCTGGCCACAAAGATAAAGCTCTAGAAATACTACAGAAAGTCGCAAAAGTAAACAAGCAAGAAATGCCCAAGSATGACTTAAATGTTCCCTACTCTCCTCCCAATAAGGGATGTTTTGAGCTCTTTGCTAGCAAGAAGCTAGTAATTTCGACGCTTATACAGTGCTACGCATGGTAAGTGAGAATCCTTTGTTTTCATGTTAGGTCATCTGGTCTGGTGGACTTTAACAAAGGACTGCTCAATAGGTCCTTTTGTACCTGTCCACCAGCATGGCCGCCATGTCTTTTGATCCTCTTAGGAATGGTCGAAAACCAAAGCTAGGGGCGATTTCCACCGTCGGGGATCGCGTTTGCACGAAACCCCGCGGACGGATGGAAATCTTAGCCTAGGCCAAAGATAGCCAAGACTAAAGTGGTCCAGCTGGTAAAGTCCTGCACTTATYGTAGTCGTGTAACGTTCATATTGATAGACCTTTTTAGGTTGGATTTAATGTTTTCCAATTTCAAGACATGTTTTATTCTCTTGAGAATATTATGCTTTGTTTAAGATGCATCTGTATTCATGTGTATCTGATGTTATGCAACCATTAAACAAAACCTCTGGTGTGTAGAATCTGTTGAGATCGCAGAAACGCTGAAGGAGGGCTATTAAACCAACTAACACACTCTTCAACAGGTTCGTGAACGGGATGGTATATTATGGTGTATCGATGAGCTCTGGTGAATTGGGTGGCAGTATCTACCTTAACTTTGTCCTGACCAGTCTGGTAGAGATTCCAGCAAATATGTTGGTTATTGACAACTGTAACAGGTAAGACCTTTGTCCTGACCAGTCTGGTCGAGATTCCAGGAAACATATTGGTTATTGACAACTGTAACAGGTAAGACCTTTGTTCTGACAAGTCTTGTAGAGATTCCAGGAAATATATGAGTTATTGACAACTGTAACAGGTAAGACCTTTGTTCTGACAAGTCTTGTAGAAATTCCATGAGTTATTGACAACTGTAATAGGTAAGACCTTGATTTTTTGTAGCTAACAACAAAAGCAAATCTTTGATGGCGATTTTTCCTCTTTAGAACAAAGGGTGGGGAAGGGAGGGAGAGGCGAGGGTTAGAGAAAGAAGACAGATACCTCGCAAAAGCTGCTGGTCACAAAGGAATGCAGGTTACTTAATCCTAACTAACTGTGTCTGCGATGAAGAGACTAATAACGTACCTTTACTCTCCAACATGGCGGACAACTAACCCCCTCGTACATCTTTACCAATCTGTATGACTTTCATCTCAGGTTTGGTCGTAAGAAGACTGTAGTTTGGCATTTTATTGCTGGTGCTATCGCGTGTGTAGCTGTGTCATTTATCCCAGCAGGAACTAATAATACTGGTATGTATTATGCTTAGTTGTTTTGTCCCGTACTTTGAATTTTTTTCCATTTCAGTTTTGCGTCAGTTTTCCACGTACCATCCACCATGAAATCATCATCTAGGTTTTGATATCTCGAGTCAAATCTTTCCCAATCAAGATCACGTGTCACTCTCTTGAGAATGTTTTTTTTTTGTTTGAACTGTGCCCATATTGACGCCATGGTCCCCTCATGCGCAACCGTTAAATAAAAAAACGAAAAGAATGACACCATAGTGACTAACTATGATGACACTCAAATCTCTTTATTAGGATATATCGTCGGGCGAGTCGCTGGAGGAATGCTGGGTAAACTATTCATCACAGTATCCTTCAACGGCATTTATGTCTTCTCTGCTGAACTCTTTCCCACCGTCGTTAGGTAAGTGAAAATCAGTTTGAGGGCCTCAATTTATTATTTATGATTTATAAAAAGCCTTTTCTATATGGATAACATCAAACACTATGCTCATTAAATTTATGTGAAGTTGAGAAATTCAAGAGTAAGAACGTTTATTTAACTGAAGTGAGTTTTGTAGCATTATAGTGTCGTCAACATTCAGTCATATATATAATTTATTCATCGCACATGAATTTTGAATGATTTCATGAGTTCCGATAAAAACTTATCAAAAACTAGTTTCTTCGTTGTCGTTAACGTATTATTTGATCCTTTAGAAAATTAGTCCAACACTATTCCTATCAGATTTGAATATGAAATAAAGAATTTGATAAATAAAAAAATATTTATCAGAAGGAAGTTTTGCAACATTCAACTGGCTTGAACGTCACCGAAGAGATAATCATTCATCCCACCGTTTGTGTTCATGAGCTCCTTTCTCCGACACGAAAGCCTCAAAAACTAGTTTCAATGAAGTTATTAACATTATATCCAAACCTTTCGTCGAAAATTAGTCGGCCAAAGTACAACAAACATTATGCTTATCAGATTTGAGCATGGAATCAGTGAAGACTTTGATGAATAAAAAAAAGTATTTTCATGTTTCTAAACTAAAATTATATATCCCATTCGGCCTTCGGCCTCGAGGGCTATCTATATTGACTTGTACACCACTCGGGCTGCGGGTCTAATTGTTAAATAGAGAGCTTTCAATTATATATCATATTCTTACTTCTTGTTACCTTAGTCTTGTAGTGTGGTTCTCTTCACCTTGCTTTTGATACATGTAGACCCTTTAACGAGATAGTGACTTGAAGTACGCTTCATTTAATGTGTGATACATCGGGATTCATCATTATCAACCACACAAACCACAGCGGTAAACACATTTAAACACTTTTATCATTCAAGTTCATTCAAGAATAAGAATATTGAGATATTTTTCGTTATTAAAAAAGTAAAGACCAGTAAACAATGCTTGACTTTGGCTTACCTTCAAATTCCTTGACAACCCCTTCATAATTAAAACTTATAACCTTTACCAAGACTGCTTTGTTGCCCTTTTCGCGACTTTAACAAAGTTATTAACATCATCAAATGTGAATTTAGGCAAGATTAGTCCAAGCTACGCTTAATTTTGCGACGCTAACATATATCACTGTAAGAACAGGCGGCCGCCATCTTGAATATTCTGAGTCATTCTGTCAGCCTCGCTTTGAATCCAAGATGGCCGAGCATGGCAGAAATAAATTAGTTGACAGTAAACTATTTAACTACAAGATTACTTTAAATAGTGAACAAAGACGCGCAAACTTAAAATATTTCAAGAGTATTATTTTCATAAAAGCAATAACAAAAGGGTTGATTATGTGTCTGTATTGTGGGAGCTATAGAGTTCTAGAAAAGAACTAAGAGAACCTTGCTTCTCTAGCTTTGTACGTCTCGCAATATTGGACGTATGATGGTCGGTCAGTGAGCCGGTGTATAGCCACAGCATCGGTCTAACTGGAGCTTAAATAATATTTCCTCACCCACAGGAACAGTGGCATGGGTTTAATGACGATTACCAGTCGCGTTGGCGCAGCCACGGCCCCTTTCATCGTGCAGTTGACTCGCGTCAATAGTGTACTTCCTTTTGCGGTGATGGGAGTCGCTACGATCGTCGCTGCTATTGGCTGTTGGTTCTTACCTGAGACCAACGGAAAACCCACCCGGGAGGTGATAGGCGATGGCGAAGAGGAAAAAAATGCAAATAAAGGTAACAGAATATTACACAGTAATTTAATTTGTAGAAAGTTGACGAGTGGGGACCAGCGTGGCGCGTTTTGCTAAATGTTTTGTAATATGTGCATGCATCAAAATCGTGCAACTTGTTTCGCGAAATTTTAAATTTTGCAGGGCAAATGTTACTCTATTTTATTCTTACTCTGCGCGCTGCACCATTTTATATAACACAGGAAGTACAAACCACGACTTTCAACAAAAGTAACAAGTTTAATGCGCGCAGGCTACGAGGGATGGGCAGCACCTTCTCTGCAATTTGTGACGCAAGTTTATTATAGCACGACAAGTTATATTCATGACTAATTAATGCTTTGATTACCTGCAGTTTAAATAATGCGCACATCTTCTCTTTCATATTATAATCACCATACATTTTGCGCGTTACCCCGAAATTGCAATGGTATTTTTCTTTCTTAATGTTGCGTTCCATATCGAAGAACAATATGACAGCATTGACTGACACTGCACATAATATTCTTTTCTAATCAGTTCACAGTCATATCCAATCATATCTTTTTTCATAATTTGTTGTTCTTTTTTATCAGTTTTGCTGACAGATATGAAACCGTCAGCAGAAAACGGCGAGACAAATGAAAATAGTCCGAAAGAAAAGGAAGAAAAGGTTGAAGACGACGAAGGAAAAGAAACAGAAAAATTGATGGAGCCTTGAATCTTGTTGATGCATGATATTTTAGCAAGAACAAAAATAAATTGGGAAAATAATAAATTAATGTAACCGTTCGTGCATTGCACGGAATTGCGCCATATATTTCTTATGTAACTGTATGTTGAGCATGAAATGTTCGAGATCTTTTAGTTGTGAATATACTAAAGTTGCTAGGTTATTACGTATTTTAGGGTCCAATTGCCCACAAAAACCCGCTAAAAGAAAGAAAACATTTTCCTCGATGATTTATCCCCCACTTGAATCAATTAGAACTATGGACAACAAATTTTGTTATGAAGAAAACGTAAGAAAAATCTTCATAGCCCTTTTTTGTTTTGGACTTGAAAGTCATTTGTTTCATACGACCCTTTGCAGAAAAAGTAACAACTTCAACACACTTAGGTGGGCACGTGCCCTCAATGTCCCCTTCATATGCCAAGCCACCCGGGTACCTTGGACAACACGAAGGTGTTCCCACTAGTTAGCTGATATTCACTTCCGATTCCCCTCCCACAACGCGGGGGAAAGGTTATAACAGGGGCAGATCCAGAAATTTGTTAGGGGGTGTCCCAAATGAAGAAATGTATATAGAGATATTAGCATATACCAACTTATGACTGCGCGCGCTCATTGGTAAATTGGATGTGAATATTGTACGATATTCACCTCTGAATCTCGGAATATTGAGTCGGCAACAAATTGGCATCTGCCGGCAATCGTTTTGCTAATTGAAAAAATGAAAGTAAATGCCATTCCTATCAATACTAAAAAAAGGCAATGAAGTATGGCCCAAAAGTTTTGCTAAAAGTTTTGCGTGAATTTGTCACGCAAACTAAAAGTTTGTGTTTGTTTGTTTTTATTGAATTATTGTATATAAAAATAAGTTAGTCTGTACACAAGTTGGTATATACTAGAATGCTCAGCTCAGGCTCAGTGAATATGGCGAATATTTACCTCGCCTCTTCGGCGAATAATTGCTAATTATGCATTCCTTCAAAAAAGCGTCAGAGTAATAAGGCGTTAAGGGGGTATCCAGTGCATCAGAATCTGTCCCTGCAAAACGTGTGCTTTCTTTATCAACACAATTAAAAAATGGCTCAGAAAACTAGAATTTAGCATTGTAAAACTACAAAAAAAATTTATTTATCTGAAGTATGCCTTCAAAACATTTTACTGGTTTCAACGTCACTCACAGAGATAATTTATTCAACTGAGTATGAACCAACTTGGAGAGCTTCAAGTCAATCATAAGTGCCAAAACGCGTGTTTTCTTTTTCAAGATAGTTCAAATATGGCTCACAAAATTAGAATATAGTTTTCTAAAACTAACTGCCTATAAATTAGAGAAGTAAATTACGATTTTGAATATATCTGAAGTAAGCAAGATTTTTAAACATTTTACTGGCTTCAACGTCACTCACAGAGATAAATTATTCATCGCACTTGAACTTTGTTCCAACTTGGTGAGCTTAAAGTCAAAAAGGCCCAAAACGGGTGTTTTCTCTCTCAAGATAGTTCAAAAATGGCTCACAAAATTAGAATTTAGTTTTCTAAAACTAGTTGCCTATAAATTAGRGAAGTAAATTACGTTTTTCTAAGAGAAAAAAATCTATTTATCTGAAATGAGCTCTTGAAACTTTTTACTGGCTTCAACGTCACTCACAGAGATACTTTATTCATCTCTGTAGTTTGAACCGACTTAGCTTCAAGTCAAATCAAAAGTGCCAAAACGCATGTTTTCTTTATACAGATAGTTCAAAAGTAGAACATAGTTTTCTAAAGCTAATCACCTATAAATTAGAGAAGTAAATGACGATTTTGTAAAAGAATTAAATCTATTTATCCGAAGTCAGCTGGCTTCAACGTCACTCACAGAGATAATTTATTCATCGCATATGAACTTTGTTCCAACTTGGTGACCTTGAAGTCAAAAATGCCAAAACGGGAGTTTTCTTTCTCAAGAAAGTTCAAAAATGGCTCAGAAAATTAGAGCACAGTTTTCTAAAGCTAGTTGCCTACGAATTAAAGAAGTGAATTACGTTTTTTTAAGAGAAAAAAATCTATTTATCTGGAGTAAACTTTTGAAACATTTTACTGGCTTCAACGTCACTCACAGAGATAAATTTATTCATCTCACACGAACTTTGAACCGACTTGGTGAGCTTGAAGTCAAATATGTGAAAAGTGCGTTTTGTTTCTCAAGATAGTTCAAAAATGGCTCACAAAATTAGAGTATAGTTTTCTAAAGCTAGTTGCCTATGAATTAAAGAAGTAAATTACGTTTTTTTAAGAGAAAAAAATTTATTTATCTGGAGTAAACTTTTGAAACATTTTACTGGCTTCAACGTCACTCACAGAGATAAATTTATTCATCTCACACGAACTTTGAACTTTGGTGAGCTTAAAGT